GGCACCTGAACCTCCATATATATAGATATGAATGCTTAAAATATTACATTATGTACAGTATGTTGTCTGACCTACAGGATGGCGCGTTTCATGCCCTCAGCGAGGAAATACAAGGATTATTGTCTTTTTCAAGAAGTATTGTTCATAAACTGAATAGTGTGTGTGTCCTGATCCTCATTAGTACATATATTGCTACACACATTATAATTACTGTACGTGATCTTTACACCATCACCGAGAATAAATAAAAACAGTGAACTTTGCTCCTCATTCAAGTATCATCAGTATTGCCTCACATTGTTGACATCTCAGTGATTCTCCCAGCAATGTCGTTCACTATTTTCTTTGTTTAACTTATTGATGCTGTTGCATTGTCTTTTGTTTCCTCTTAATGTTTACAGATTAGGAGGCCTTTCAAAAATAAATAGACTTATCTTGAGGACGTATTAATGCAAGAAACCTGAATCACGTTATTTAATTTCTGTGAATTACATTTATCAGTTTTATTAAGAATTTTTTTTTATTTCAGTTGTATTTGTCAAAGAACAGTATGCATTAAAGCATATTTATATACCGCAAACAGAAGCAACTGATAATATTGTGAAGGACGAACAGCCACCACTCGCCTGTCACCACAGGCTGCAAGTTTTTTTTTTTTTTTTCATCTAGGCCCCTGTGATGTGAGTAATGGGGTCGTTACCAGTGTCGGTGTTGTCAATGATGAGAAGTGCGTCTTACTTAAATCTCTCTAAGTTAATAATGTCTTCAACAAGTAATCATCACGCCACGGAGCGTATACCGCTGGATATTTTAAGACGCTGTGTAAATATTTGATTCTAGAATTCTTGTTAACGCTGACTTATAAACCGTCGAGTCTGGTGTTGCAAGAAGCACTTGCTCTCTTTACAGCAATTACTTTGACCTCGGGTTTTAAACGTCAGTGTCGTAGTTGAGTTGAAAACTACATAAGTGTTATTCAATGAAATTATATGGCTAATAAGCCAATGTGTAGAGTGGAATGTTTGCCACAGTGAAAGGGGGCGGACTCACAGCCAGCAGCTCACCACCAGCCTTGAACCCACAGAAGTCACGCCTCCCTTATGTTGCTAAAACATTTGCGTATCCTAAACTGTCTTGTCGCTAGATACATAAACTACTTCTATACAGTATGCAGTACTGTACTAGTGAACAGCGGGTCTGCATATCCTATTAAATTAAAATTTGTATTAGAAACAAAATGTGTTACCGCTACAAGCAGAATAAAATTCTTACGAATAGAAAGATTACTTAATTTATAGATTCTATAATCTCCACATAGTAATGTTCGCATAGTGCACGAAAGTGTTCCTAGGAGCATCTTGCTGCCGCACCTCAGTCTCGCTGTCTGACGTACAAAGAATTTATTACAAATATTTATTTATTAGATATAAACAAATGATAGGTAATTTTATAATAATGTTACATATTAAAGGTTTACGTATGCAACCCGATATCTTTACGCATTGTCTGGTATGGATGGTTAGCACTAACACATGATGGTTGCTTGCTTGCTGCATTACTACACATCTATCAATTAGATTCCGTCGCACCTTCGACACGTATACTGTATTAGGTGTTACTGTAGTAAGCAACTGGGATAAGCTTATCTTTCGCCTTGCGTAAGCACATTATCCCAGAAGCGAAAGAGAAAAAAGAAACAATAAAAGTGAGGAATGTTTTACATGTTAGAAATATTTGCCACTTGTAGCCCTTAAAACAGGTGTGTTTGTATGTTTACTATTACCATCTCTTGTGTCAAAAACATTCCATGTAACATAATGTACCAGGGATCTCCCCCCAAAAGAGCATAATATTACAATATCTGTTTCTTCTTGGACAGATTGTGTAACCTTTATATGCAGACTTCCTGACAAGTTCGTTATGTTTAGGTAATAAAAGCCAAATATAGTTGGGAATGCTGTACTATTGCCGTAGCTACTTCACTCTTGAGCAGTTGTTTCAAGTTTATAAGGGATTTATTCGTCCTAACTTTGAGTACTGCTCTCATATCTAGGGTGGCTCTTCTTCTGTCCGACGGTTAGATAGGGTGGAATCAAAGGCATTTCATCTTATTAACTCTCCTCCTTTAGTTGATAATTTCTCTTCCCTTTCTCTTCGCCGCAATCTTGCTTCACTCTCTTTTGCAGGTACTTTAACAGGCAATGTCAGGTGGATTTGGCATCCTGTGTACCGCCAGCAAGGCCGTGGGCAAACTCTCGTCTTGCCAGCGGTGCCCACCGTTTCTGTGTGGATGTCGGTCACACTAGAATAACCCGTTATAGTACATCCTTCTTTCCTCACACAGCCAAACTGTGGAATGCTCTGCCTTCTTTTGTGTTTCCATACTCTCACAATCTGCCTCACTTCAAAAAGCTGGTTTTCCGGCATCATCGTGGTATAGATTAATATAGTCTTTTTTCCCTTCTATTTTTAATTTTTTTTACTCTTGTTTTTTCGACCCCCCCAGGCCTCGTTGTGGATCGATGACCTTTGCTCGGGTGGGCAATCCCTCGTGTGTGTGTGTGTGTGTGTGTGTGTGTGTGTGTGTGTGTGTGTGTGTGTGTGTGTGTGTGTGTATATATATATATATATATATATATATATATATATATATATATATATATATATATATATAATTCATAGAAATAAAAACTAATTTGAAGTGCTCAAGTAAAGGATGAATAATACAGGTCTTTGACCTCCTAAACTTGAAGTGTGCGAGTGTTACGTGAAGATTTCAGGAACGGTCTTCGTTGTCTAAAACGAGGTCACAACTAAAGACATTTCAAATATTTTTACGTTAACATACTTAGCTAACACCTTCGCCACGGGTGCTGTACACAGATGAGGTAAATGTTTGTGAAATGAATGAATACTCGTTCTTTATAGAGTGCAGCGAACTCTTTAGTGCTCTAAGTTACGGTGCAGCGCGTCAATCTGTTTATTGTTGCCAGAAAACCAAAACACTGGCCACTGATTTTACAGCTGCAGTTGCGGCAAGAGTGTTTATACTCACTGTTCTGGCAGGAAAGATTCATCAAATATGTTTCGTGGTCTGGTTGTCACTTAAGCAGCAGATTCTGGGACGCCAGTAATCACGGTGTTATTGACCATCATTATATATATATATATATATATATATATATATATATATATATATATATATATATATATATATATATATATATACACAGTAGTTTCGCACCAAGAATAGTTTATGGACGAACATCGAAAACATCGTTATAATGAACAAAGGGATGAAATCTTGTTTCGGTGATAGAAGAACTGTTGAGGTGACGCTAGCCAATAAGAGAGAGAAACTGCATGTTATGAATAAGTGGGTGAGAGGCGAGGCTGCGGCCACAGCAGATGGCTGTTATTAGAGTGGAGGGCTGGCTAGCGGTACAGTACAGTATATGATGTGGGAAGCTCGCCCATTACCCAACCTCGTAACACGTTATGTGCTCCACACCACGCCCTGGGCCCTTAATGCCTTACCTCACAAGTTTCTAATTCACTGCACTGATTTAGTATGGAGTTCACGTATTTCTTGAAGAACATTGTGGCGATGTGATGCATTCTACCCGGGACGAATTTTATTTTCGCTCATATATCTTTCGACACTCAAATGGAATAATTTCAGTTTGGTGTGAAAGTGTATTACATTTTCTTGCTTGATATTTGTGGGTGTGTTAACACAAATATTTGTACTTATAACCATTTTTAGTCTAGGGGCTGCGCCATCCAATGACTCATTTAGCAGGAAATCAGAATACAGACTGTAATCGTAATGGTGGCACCAGTTTCATTCATTAATTTATTTATATATGCCACATTTAAACTGTACAAAACGTACTACCATATACACCAATGGTAAAATTGAACAGTGACAGCGCAAAGTACAGTATTGTAGGGAAAATAAAGTAATGGGCAAAATAAGATGTATTTAGTAAAAACTCAATATATCACAGATATAAATAATAGACGAAGAAAAGACTAAGAAAGAAAATATTGCACAGAACAGAGAATAAAAAGTCAATTGAATATAACTCTTCCGATGGGACGTTTAGACATCCGTCGCCTGGCACTCGGCTTTCACAAGTTCTATGACATGATATTTGTTAAAGTGGTAATGTTCCGTGTGTGGTTTTGAGTTACAGATATATCATTACAGGAGAAAAGTGCTTAAACTTATTTTATAAACCCAATAATATAGCTGTTACACTCACACCAAACAACAGCGCAAGTATAATTCCTAAGGTCTCCAGTAATCTTTAATGAATTATAACTTTAAAGAAAACTACTGTATACCTAACCTAACCTTTTATTTTACTTTTTATAAGAAATAAAAGGCATAAGCAGACAGGAACTAGCAAACGACTGGGCAAAAATATAATAAAAACCATGATTAGTGAGGTTTAGAATTACAGGGGCGGATCCAGGAATATCAAAATATGGGTCCAAGGAGTTATGGTTGGGGGGGAACATGATGAGCACAGCGAGCCCATCCAGCTGGGGGTTTGGGGGGGGGGGGACGTTGCAACCTGCAAGTCCCCCCCTAACCAAGATTTTTTTTATCTGACCAATATCATGGGCAGTTTGAGGCCATTTTGAAGCCATATGCACTTGATATTAGGAGATATTCTGAGGACAATAGTAATTATTTTTTTAACATACAAACACGCCCGAGTACAATACTGCTTTAAAGAAAAAGTCTTGGAATTTTCTGGTGAAAAGGGGGGTCCGGAGCCCTAGGACCCCCCCCTCATGGATCTGCCCTTGAATTAGAGTACTGTAGTCAATGATATTAGCAGTGGAATATTTTATTAATCACTTTTACTCAATAAGTATTTATAACATTATGGAGTAAATATGACTTTTTTCACATTAAAAAACAAAAAACAACTGACCACTGATCACATTAAAAAACAAAAAACAACTGACCACTGATTGTATTACAGAAAGTGGAGCCATCATCATCAAGATGGAGGTGGAAGCCAGAATAAGTGTTCAGGCTATGAGGGGAAGATTTGAGCAGCGACATGAAGACGGCACACTTGTATCTCCTCTTGCACAAAAAATCAATACCTCTCCAGTTAGAACAAGAACTTCGTCAGTCACTAACAAGGATTCACCAAATGGGGATGAAGGAAAAATTACTCAAAAAAAGTTGGTTCTTCCCCTGGAGGTAAGTGAGCAAGACCAGAAACTCCTGACTGGAGTAAAAAATGGTCCACTGAAAGAGGATTCCAAGAATGGATCGTTTTTGTCTGATATCATATCTCCAGTTCTGTCCGGTTCATCCCAGAGGAAATTCTCCTTTGATATTTCCAGAGAAAGAAGAGAACAGACAGATGTGAAGATGTATGAAACTCCCTCATATAGTTTACTGAATAAAAGTACAGGGGAAAAGTTAGATTCTTGTGGTGCTGAGGTGAAGCCAAGTGTTGTTAGAAGAATACCAGTATTTAAATCAGTTGACACAGGGCTTAACTCAGAGGGTAAGAAGTCTGATAAAGAGGACGAGGAAGAATCTGTCAGTGGATCTCTCGAAAAAAGAGGAAGATTTTTTGGCCATATTCGCTCCAGATCACATGGGAATTTCATTATTAAACGAGAAGCCAGTGTTGAAAAGAACAGTCATTCAGTAGAAAAGGGGTGGTAAAGCAAAGGGACAATATTCTCAATAAGGATTGGCTCATTCAGAAAAAGAAATTAAAAGGTAATGATAACCTGTTTAACAGTCAAGATTCAAAAAGTAAATCATCATTTGAGGGCAAACAAAAGATTGTGGCAAATGTAGTGAAAAATATGAAAAATAAAGAAAAACCAAAATCAGAAAACTGAGTTTTTCTTCAAAAATTGAGAAGGAATTGAAAAATAAGAGAGAGAAAGCAGTTAATCCGAGCTCAAAAGACAGAAAAATCTGCCTGCCACTTCCTTCTCCAGACAAAGCAAATAAAGGTGGTAATTTTTGGGTAAAACAAGAGACAAATATCAAGGATATTAAGGTATCTGCTGGACATAAGCCACTGGTGGATGATAAACAGAGATCTAATTTACGGAAGATTTCACCTATATCAGGAGCTGCTGTAGCAACAATAGAAATTGCAAAAGCTGTTGCAGATGTTGCACTAAAAAAGGCAGGAACTGTGAACTCAGATACTTTTGAAAATGTTTCCTCATCAAGTCCAGATACACTTACAGTTCCTCCTGCAAGGCCGCCAAGACGTAGGTCTTCTGGTGCTGGTCTGACACCACATAAGAAGGGGAAAGCTCCATCACCACCAGGTCAACCTTCAGCCTCGCCAGCTTCATTAAATAAAGTTGTGTGTGAAAAGTCACCTGTCAGAGATAACTACACAAGTGACAATTTGTATTCCTCAATTACAAAGAACACAGATGTTCATGTGGAGAATAGATTGTCTCCAGATGCTATTGTAAATAGGCATACTGAGTCTCCTGATCTCTACAAATCTTCTGATTCACTTTCATCATCCCAATCATTTGAAAAGTCTAGAGAAAATTCACCAATAATGGCCAACCATGATTGTTCACCCACAATAGGCAAGACTTCAATAATGGACCAAGATTATGTATATAGACCTCTAAATGAGGAAAATAAAAAGTTTAAGACCGAGTTGCAATCCATACATTTGGAAGCTGGTATGTCATCAGAGGAAAAAATGTCTTTGAGAAATTGTAGAGTTTCATCAAAGTCCAATGAATGTCTTCATGAAAAATTCTCTGTTGATTCTGTGTTAGAAAGTGGTGAAAAGGTAAAAATAGAATGTTTACCAGCTGGTCCACCACCAAGAAAACCACCAAGAACCTTTGCTTATGACATTTATAAGAATGTTAAGGGGTCCATGGGTGAAGAGGTTCCGGGTGAGGAGACTAGTGAACTGAATAAAAATTCTCAGTCTGAAACACCTCAACCACAACCCATTTATGCTGTCCCGTTGAAAAAGAAAAAGTCTAATAGCAAATTTATCCCAAAGTCTCCTGTGAGAAGTAAAAGTGATTTAACAAACAAAGACATTTCTAAGCCATCCATTGCTCCTAAGCCTCCCCATATTCTCAATAGAGCAAAACGAGCATCAGTGGTTGACCCTCTTTCTAGTACTGAGAAAGATGAGGAAGCAGCCATAACCTCAGAGTTTCAACGACAGGCACACATACGCTATAGTCTACGAAGACCAAAGAAACCACCACCTGCTCCTCCCCCATACTCGGATATGGAGGGAAACACTCTTAATAATTCAGTCAATAGTCCTAGCAATGCTAATATTTTAACCAAAAGTAATACAGATATATATTCTGTGAGTAATGTCCTTCCTAGCTCCAAAAATACTTTTGATCTAAATTGTGACCCTAATGAATTTCATGGTAGTAAGAATATTTCCCAAGAATCATTTGACTTACAAAGTATATCCCACTCCAAATCTCTCTCTTCAAGTCAAGGTATTCCTGTTAGTGATTATGAGGATATAAAATCCTCAGTCTTAGCTCTACGAGCAACATTTTGTTCTACCCATAACTTAGAGGCAACTTCACCGTCACTAGAGAATGACCAGCCACTCTCACTTGGTTACTGCAGTGTGGACTCACGCTCTCCAGATACAACAGATCTCTACAAAAAGCGCAGCATGAGTGATGAAACACTTTACAAGGTGAGGGTTAATCCTACACAGTACAGTACTGTAGTTTAAATTTACAATACAGTATTGATTACCGTAATAGGAAAATTTTCTTTTTCATACTTCATTGCACAAGTAACTGTACTGTATTTTAACGTATTCATTATACTAAAATTCTAAAAACCAATGATGTGAAGACACTATATAGTACTACAGTATACATAAATGTGAAATTGACCCCGATATCTCATTTTACAGTCAATCCTGGGTCAGGTGGCTTAAGTTCCGTAACAACTTGTACATTGTATTTAATCTTGAAATCTCTGTTACAGTACTTCTCTTTCCTCTTTCTGTACCTACTTCTGTCATTAGCATCTTTATTTTATTGACAGTACAGTATTACAGTACTGCCTAGATTATTCTTATTGAACATCACTCACATATTTAAAAGTTTTGGTGTATGTTTGCCTAATAGGGATCTAGACATGGAGATGAGCCAATATATGCAACTCCTATTTTCAACACCAACAAGGGGTCCTCCAGTCACAGTCGCCAGAGAGAACTCCATTATATGGTATGTTCATAGCCTAATTTTACATCTTTTATAGCAGCTAGGTTCAGTTAGGAATAATACTTTTGGGGGGACTTTTTAATTTTTTTAGTTGAAGTTTGGAATAATAGATTCAGATAATTTATCAATATCCTTTTAGCTATATGTTGCACAGATTTATCCATTATGTTTCTAATTATACTGTATCTGTAATGCACTTACTGTACTTATGGTTGCACTAACTGGCCATATGACATCACAACAGCAAGGTACTTCGGAACCTGGTTTATCTAACCTCTAAGCATCCTACATCTGCACATCTAATCTAACCTTTGTACACGGATAGTTCACATGCCTAACTATATTTTACTAATGTGATTAGATTTGAAAATTAATCAATTGTATTACAGTAATGAAGTGTACATAATAATATTTTGCCTATGTTAAATTTTTGCTTTAACGAAACATATACTGTAAGTGTGTGTTTTTAAAAGGGTTATGTGTATTATGAGGCCAACCAGGAAAACTAATATTAAGGTCACGTCTTTTTTTTTTTTTGCCAAATGAAATTTCATAAAAAATACCCAGGAATCTTCTTATACAGCACATTTAGGAAAATCTTTTACAGTATACTGTAGTGTATAAAAGCACAAAAAACTTCTCCACAGTAATTTTCCAGAATATTGGTACATATACAATACGTACATGTATAATATACAGTATCAGGGATTTAACATTTAATATCTTACTCCACTCATTAATGCTTATACGTAATACAATATCTCATATTCTTCAAAGGAAGCAGAAAATATTCTTGTTAGCTTGAAATCTAATGTACTGTAAGTACTAACTAATTTAATTAACACAAATATATACTTTGTCCTACCCATTCTTAGTGTTCCGTCCTTTTCACTGATGAGGAGGAAGCAGATGCAGGCAGGGACGGAACTGACAGTGGACGAAGGAATAGAAGAAATAGTACGAATGGTAAAGAGAAGATGCTAGGAACTGATACTGCAGATGGAGGCAAAGGAAGATCCAGTTTGATATCAGCATGGAAGAGAGATTTTCGACAGAGCTGTCGTCAAGTTCAAAATAAAATAAAGAAAACTGTCATCAGATAGTATGAGTTCATCACTTATTGTATGATAATTCTTGAAATACTTTTTGACGTTACATCCGATCAAAAAAAAATACAGTACTTTGATACTGTATAGATATTTCTTTCATGAAGCTTTAATGGGAAAATTGTGTACAGCAAAATATGTATATACTGTTTTATCTAATGTAAGAGCACAGATAGTAATGGTCATATATGCTCATATCAGAACTCGTGTAAAAGCCACTGACCTTGGTATGTTACATAATATTTTATTTAAGGAAAATACAGTATGTTGTGAAATTATGTTGTAAAACATAATCAGACCAAAGCTAATGTTAGTGTTAATATAGTGTGATAATCCTGAATTTTATATACAGTACTGTATTCCACATTTTCTGACAATTATAATCACAAAAACATATTTATAGGAGTTTTAACATTTTGAAATTTAATATAAACACAGTTTAGGGAGAAAAAACCTCAGAGCATTAAACTCTTGCCAGCTTTTGTTACCATAGAGTACTGTACTACGTGGTTTTAATAGTTCTACACTCAACATATTTTGGAGTTAAGGTTTAACCTCCACAGCTCTCCATCATTCATGAAATGAAGACACAATGAAAACTATTTTAAGTAGTACCGTATATTATAGCTATGCTGGAGGATGTCTTGGAGTAAATCTTCAACAACAGTGTCACTTATGGGTGTAGATACATATTTAATTCCATTTTTTCACCACGATAAATGCAGTGCTGTACCATGAATATATCTCAGAAGCAGGTTTGTTTAACCCTTTCTCAGGTTCATCTTCAAAAGGTGATTTTTGACACTTCAGAAACCTGAATACAGTACAGCATACAAAAAAGTATTGTAGTATTCTTTTTGAGATATGGGTCATTCAAAAGTCATGCAGTATTTTTGTGGATGTCCTGTAAATGGGTAATGTAGTGAAATCTAGCCTACTTGATACACTTAAACTAATAGCAGATACACTCACATTGAGATTAATGTGGACATCACCAATCAGAAGATCCTTACAGGCACAAACCCATAGGTGTTATAATAGGGGTTCTGGATGCGAGCTCATTGAAAATTACAGTACAGTTTTTTAAATTTGAGCTGTAGACTGATTAGTTAACTGAATTACCTGTAGAGCAAAACTGTGGGAAAAGTAAAGGACTTGCCGTTACATCCACTGATAATGCCACATTTACACCATTCTTGTTTCTGTTATATATTTTTTAAATTATACACTGATCATTGTTATTGTCACTTTAGCTGTATCTTTTATGGTTCCTTTACTCTCATGCCTTTTTTATTTCTACAGTACTTGAACTTAGTACTGAACAGTATATGCAGTCTTTGATGAAGTAACTCTTTTGTTCTTTTCACACTTTTCTATTTCTAGACAAACAAATGACTGCTGCTATGTATATGATAGGCTAGACAAAACTACATGCAGGATTTTTCAGTAAAGCTTCAAATATTGTAGTGGTGTTTGGTCTTCAACTCTTCATCATTGGAAGGTGAGGTGGTTGTGAGCTGTCATAATGCTTAGAGGTAGGAGAGAAAGAAAGAGACTGTACATATACTATTTTGCTTTAAATGTAGAAAAAGGCATACTTGATTTGCACGTAGAATGCAAATAAATATATTGCTTTGTAATTCTTAATTTTCAAACCCAGTACATAAACATGAGATTGATTCAGAGGCAATGGACATTAAGTTATCAAGGGGTATTTTTCTGATCAGCAAAACATTTTTTTTGTGATTGCAGCAACAAAAATTAGTGTTTTTATTTTCTAGTCTTTAATTCGTATGTAGAAATAAGTGATGATATTCTCCTGAACATACTCAATAATTTATGTGGATATATTCATACAGTATATGTAGCTGGTATTTTTTTTTCTATAATTACTGTAGTGTGTCAATGCCAGCTTTTATCATTGTGATTCTAAGTTCATTGATAAATTTTTCCATGTACTGTATTGATAATGATATGATGTATAGGGCTTATACAGTAAATAATTTTGGAGGCTTTTTTACGAATTGAATGGGTAGCAGTGTAGCTCTAATGTATTTAATGAATATACCCATAAGTTATAGAATAGGATTAATGCTAGTTCCTCAGTTTAACACACTTAGTGGAGCTTATACTAATCAGTCATGTGAGAAGGATTTTATCAGGTAAAATGAAGCCATGTTGTTAAAGGCAGTGTTATGGTTACTGTGAAATGAACCAAAGGGAAAGCATAGTGTATTGAAAAGGTAACTGTCCATTGTACAGTAAATTTTTGCTGTCAGTATGTATCTTTCCTAAATATTAAATTTCTAGAGCTCCATTAATTGAAGAAAATGTACTTAAAAGTCTTGTTGGTGATTGTAATAAACTTTTTATGAATACAGGTACCTGTACAGTACAGTATATATGGGTTAAGAATTGAATGCTGATATGTAACTGGTCATCTCAAAAATTTTGTTGTATTTTGTAATACATTCATTAAAATTATTTATATGAACAAAAAAGTATTATTCTGTTAAGCTACAGATATTCAAACATTTGTATAATATTAGTACTACAGTAGATTTGTGGAACCAACTCGCAGTGAGCATTGTCACTGCACCATCAATGAACACACTTAAAGACAGACTGGACAGGAACTGGATTAATCACTGTCACCTGCACAGAGTGACTACTAAGACTAGGTCCATAATATCCAATGGAAGAAGCATTTGGAAACAAGTCCAAGGATCTCTTGCACAAGAGGTAATTGTATATCCCCAGTCTTAAAGAAGGGTAATTAGGACTATCTATCCTATTCCAGTGCTTGATAAGGATACAGTGCAGTTTTATGTCTGAAACATCCTGCCTTTACTTTATCTTCTTTGTTACTGATTGGCCGGTTATGTACTGTTGGCAAGTACTGTACTGGCCTCAGAATGTACCTGGGCCTGTGCCAGTGTTGGTCAAGTCCGGCCTTTAATGAGCTCACACCCAGTCTCTGGCAGGTTATTCCAAGAGTTCACAACTCTTAATCCACAAAAGTTAGATCTGCCAATTTTCTGTACTTGTAGCTTCTTTAATCTGAGGCTGTGAACTGAGGTGGGGTGGGCATCTGTTGGCTCCAGATATGGAATTCTGATTGTGTACTGTACTACTGTAGTGTCCTCTGAGGTGTTTATAAACTTCTATTAAATCACCTTTTGCCCATCTATAGTATAAGTTAGCTCACTGCAGGTATGTATTCTAATCTCTCCTGAGATTAGATTAGAGTTCAGACACCAGTCTGATGATTTAGTTCCTGTGGATTTGTGCCTTTGTTACATAGTACATTGTCCAGTTAAATTGTTTATTGGAAAGAAAAATTACCTGAATGAAGGGATATATTTGTTATGGTGGTGTTACTAGAGTACTGTATATACTTCATATGACATAACGGACTGGTTTGGGTGTGTTTTACATCTCTAAATTTAATGAATTACCAGATCAAATGATCCCAACACACATGTGACATGCATGATGCCAGGTAGTGAGAGATGACAGTCTAAGGCAGTTGTAATACTGTACTAGTAGAAAGCCACAATAATTCTTTGATCGATACTACTTCTTTAAGAAATTCCCATTGGACATTGGTGGATGGTAACAAAGTAGCTTTACTTCATTACTGTCCACGTGTGTCACTGAACTAGATGATATCCAGGAGATTCTTCCTTCACTTTCAAGTTTAATGATAATGACCAGTGAGTTTAATTAGTAATTAAGAAAGTTAAGGCCCAAGTCATGGATTGCACACTACTAGTCAGTGAAGCAAATATTTCCTTGTAAGCTGTCAACCAGCTGAAATACAGTAGATATATTTTTATGTTACCCTCACTTGTAATCCTTGTACAGTGTAAGAGGATAGGCCTGATTAATTTTGGAGTAATGTTGTGCTTATTTTGTCAGTTCCTTCATTTAATTTTAGATATTGTGCTGATGTTACATTTCAGAGGAAGAAAGTCATGTTAAATAAATATTATCATGAAATACTATGCAAAAGTTAAAATGGCAACAAATTCCTCCAATGGATTCAAATGGAACAAAAGAGATACAGCTTTTGTTTCCACCAAGAATTGTGGTTTTTAATGTCATAATTCTTATCAATTCTTTTCTTACGGTCCGACTAATTACCCAAATGTACCCAAATATAGCCGCAATGAATGAATAAATGGATTGCTATTTCTCGACTAGGCTTAATCTGAGTTAATAGATCGCGAGGGAGCGAATTATTTAAATGTAAGCAATGAAGTCAAATGATGGTCGTACAACCGTAATTCGGGCTGTGAATCACTTCTTGATTATTATTTGGTGTCATAAAGTAAAAAAAATTGGTAAACTTAATTTAATCTGAGTTGTGTTGTGTTAGGTTAGATTAGGCTAGATTAGGTTAGGTTAGGTTAGGTACATGCACTTGATCTATTTACTCAGATTAAATTAAGTTTCCCAATTTTTTGTGACTTTGTGACAACAAATACTAGTCGAGAAGTGATTGGCAGTCCGATTTATTCATCTAGGACCATTATTTGACTTCATTGCGACTACATTTGGGTACATTTGGGTAATTCCTCGCTCCCTTATTACATGCACGCGATCTATTAACTCAGATTAAAGTAAGTTTTCCAATTTTTTGTGACTTCCTGACACCAAAAACTAGTCGAGAAGTGATTGGCAGTCCGATTTATTCATCTAGGACCATTATTTGACTTCATTCCGGCTATATTTGGCTACATTTAGGTACATTTGGGTACATTTGGGTAATTAGTCGGACCCCTTTACTTCAGCTCATTCTCGTTTTCTTTTCTTACTGTTAGTCTTAATTTTTTTTACCATAGCAGTACAGTACTGTACTTTTTTCTTTTTTCTTTCTTTCCCATTCTTTGTCGGTCAGTTTTCATACCTGGAGCTGGTGGATGCCCGCCCCACTAGGCTTACAGTTTAAGGATGAAGAAGCCACAAGTTCATTTAACTGTCAGGGCAAACTTTTAGACATGAGTCAAGAGTTGTAAACGCTTGAAACAATATGCTTTAAAGTGGTGTGACGGCAGCGAGTGTGAGCTCATTCGAGACCAAACTTGACTTGCCCAAAACTGGTGCAGATACAGATACATTCTGGCGCCAGTACTCGCCAACAGTGCAAAACAGAGACGTGACCAAGCGGCTGTAAAACCGATCAGTGGCAAAGACGATAAGTAAAGTATTCATATTTTATTCCGTTCTTAAATTGTAGTACCTCCACAACTCTTGTTTATGTTTTTGATACTTATGTATCCTTGATAAATGTTTGTACTGTATATGTAAGCATTTATGGATTTAACCTTGTAAAATAAGGTACCGGTAGTTAAAATTATAAAAAAAGAAGAAATAAATGTAGTAGTCTCTGGTAGTAGCAATCATAGAAAACAATTTTATGCGTATATGAAAGAAAACATAAAATTAGATACAATTTAGGAGAAACTCAATATTATTAAAGTGAAATATTTTGATAAATAACCTTTAGTTCTATGACTCGTTATAGAAATACAAGTACTCACCTTTATTTTTCCCTATCACTGCCTATCGATCAAATCTCTCTCTCTGTCAAAATATGGTTGTCACACTAACAAGGAGATTAATTTAACATTTGTTGAATTACAGTATATCATGAATAGGATTGCTGAAATAAGTTAGGTTGGGTTGCTTCTTATAAATTAGTATTTAAAATTAGCAATCCTTGGCCATCTTAATTTGCCCTTCTAAAGAAAACGCAAAAAAATTATACTAGTCGAGAAGTTGAATTTTATGACTATCATTTCATAAGTAAATAAAATGAGTCCGATTCGATTTATTTTCACCATAGGCGGATATGTGGTAACCTGTGAATAGCATGGCGATGATGGTAATTTCAGTACACACGACTCTCGCATAAAATTTTCTGAGAACGACCCTAGTGTGTAGCAACTTAAACATACACACAAACACACATGTACTAATCGCTATTAGAACAAGCCATTGTAAAAATCAACAACTTGTAGACTCACTTTTATACTGTAATTGTTGACATTCCTTGTCATAATCTTAATTTTATATATAGTACATACCACTTATGTCATTTGTATATTTTTAGCTTATGGCTGTAGTTGCTAATAAACCGTGGATTAATAATAATAATTACACATACTGTAATAAGATTAATTCATTCCCTTACATCAAATTAATTTATTATTACAAGCATTAAAGACCACGATCGCATGATACGGGTGTGTGGCTGCTGTGTCATTGTGTTTTATGGAGATTTGACAGCATAGCAGTCAGTATGTGGATGATGGGGAACCAAGTCTTGTTTACTTTTGGTTCTGCCACCTACCATGTGGATGGAACTCTTGCAATTAAAAAAAAAACATTGTCTTCAATTAGGTGGCAGAAAGATGATCAACCACAATAAATGTCTTCTTGAGCTTGTGATGGAAGAGGAAAATAGATATACAATACTGTGAAAGTGGGTTCCATCAGCCTGATACAAGTAAGGCCAATGTGGTTACAGCACACTGTAGGCCCGTACACAAGGAGGCAGCATGGCCGGTACTGCACTCGACCGCATTCACTTCCCAAACTTAGATACCTATTTACAGCTAGGTGAACTGGGAATCGAACCAACGATTCCCGGAACGGGAGGTGAGTGCTGTTTCCACTCGATCGCCCTGCTCCTAGATAATTCTGTGATAGCCTGATAAGAGACATCGATACATAAATAAATAGATAACCCGGGAGACGTAAATATATAAACAGAAACACAGAGATGCAGACTGACTGACAGAACAACAAAAACATAGACACATTAACAGTCTACAGAAAGACAGACACAGATAAATACATTGATACAGATGGATTCATAGACAGACAGACACACTGACAAAGTAATAACATAGGCCGCACACCGCATCACTAAAATCACTCAGTCCTGGGCACAAAAATCATATAAATTCGGCAATCGCGAAATTGCATTCAGTGACGCGTTCCAGAGATCGTCCTTAAGGTATCGAACAAGCGTGTATCAGCAGGGAGGAACCGAGTCTTTAAATTGGATTCTCTTCCTGCTTTAAGGCATCAAACAAGCGTGTATCAGGAGGAAAATTCTGCTCCTTATGGTAATTTCGTTCCTTTTCAACAATTATAATGAGGCCACTTTTTATTTGTTATCTAATTTGGTAAATATTTATTTTTCTTTTTGACATGGTCTTAATAGTGTATACTGGTTGTATAACATAAGTATGACATTGCATTGTTTAATGGTGACCAACTTTTGTTGTGGCCGTATGTATAGGCCAGTAGTGACGCCTTTCCACTGATCAGTGTCTTTTGACTTCTGAGTTTTATAGATTTTGCACAGAATAATTTCCTTTAAGAGCAAACTTTCTTTATCCAAGACTAAGCTAAGGTATCGTAAACGTTATCCTAAAACATGTAAAGAAAAATATCTAAGGATCTCATGAAAATTAG